CACTCCTCTTCTTCCCCCCCCCCCCAGTCTCCTAAATACAATGAAACAGCTGATTGCTGCAGGCAGCGGGGAGGCTACAGGTCTCCCACCCACAGCAATCAGCTCTTTTGTGGTGTTCAGGGGGCTCTGTGGAGGATGGGGGGAGGAGCGAGGACATGGCGCGCAGCGTCCGTCCGTCCCCGCCCCCGTGTCGCCCGCCCGCACCAATCAGCTGTTTTGTGGGCGTTCAGGAGGCTCAGGGCGGGGGGGGGGAGGCTGCGCATTGCGTCCTTGCTCCTCCCTCCTGCCCAAGAGCCTTCTGAATGACCGTGAAACAGCTGGTTGCTGTGGGCGGGAAGGAGGGGGGAGTTGCTGATCCGTAGGGCCACCGAGGGTTAGGATCAGGGACGTAACAACAAAACAACGTTAACCTGGACTATGTTAAGTGAGGAGTTACTGTAGGCATTTTTGTTCTGTCCCTAAGTGAACTTAAGTCCTAGATATAACCTGCTGCCAGTAACCTTTCTAACATGCTGTATGGTCTTATGTGTTCATGGAGAAAATGTTTTTAGTATCTAGAAAATTACCACCATTATAAAAGAGCTTCTCCGAGTGATTGCTCATGTCAATTCCAAGTAGGTGTGTGCACGTCGTGTGCATGATCATCGGAAGGTTTTTCCCCTAGCGGTACCCGTTGGGTTGGCTGTGGAGCCCCCTGGAGTGACACCTTCATGGCTGCGTATATAGGTCCCTGCCAACCCGCCATCTCTTCAGTTCCTTCTGACCACCAGTGACAGTCATTGGAACAGCTCTCTCTCGAGTTTGCAAGTGCTTCCCTAGTGTTCTTCTTTCTTGTCTATCTGTAAATAGTTATATAGCTTTAGTTGTAGTTTAGTATGTTAGTTAGTTTTACATTTGGGGTTTCCCCCCATAACCCTTTCCACGGGGCATGCCTCAGTCTCAGGGCTTCGAGTCATGCGGGTTGTGCCTTAAAGCCATGGCCAAAGAGGACCCACACAATTGCTGTCTCAAGTGCCTGGGTGAAAGTCACCAGTCCGACAGGTGCAAAATCTGCAGGGGCTTTACCTCCAGAACTAAAAAGGAGTGGTACTCTCGGCTGAAAGTCCTCCTCATGGAGTCAGCCCTTCGCCCCGTGGCGGTGTTGGATCCAGCACCGGGAACTTCAGTATGCAGTTCCCCGGCTTCTGTGCAGGAGGCTTCAGTGCCGAGGAAAGACTCATCTAAGGAGCCCCGGCACCGCCATTCCCCGACACAGATAACCAGCTCCAGTGTGCAGCACTGCTTGCAGTCACCAATGCTGCATAAGAACAAAAAGGCTGATGGGGGCACTCCCCTACCAAGCCATCAGAGCATGCGGGCACTAGTTGGGTGCGTCCCGCGTCGGGACACTCGGCCTCGGGCCTACCTATACCGGCAGCATCGACTCCAGCCTCATGGTGAGGTCCGTCAGTTTGGTCCTGGTGGACTCCCTGGGGCGGGAGGAACTGGAGGAGGATCGGGGTCTTCCTTCCACGCCGGACACATTTGAGGCATCAAGGGATCTGATTGCCATGACTGCACAGTCTCCTATCCCATCAGCCCGTGTACCAGCACCAACAGCGGCACCGACACTTGTCTGCCACAGGGCAAGTCCACTATGATATGGCACCATTCCACAGCACTGTCTGGGTCCGCTCCACCATGGTTGGGCTCAGACTTTTCTTCGGATTTAGAGGCGGACTCCTACGTGTCTCGCCGGAGCCAGTACCGCTCCAGCGCTGCCACAGGCGGGATGAGGGGCAACCGGTGCCTATAATGTCCTGACCCCCTCAATGGCAGGGGCCGACTCAGCCCTTTTGGACAGCATGAACCTATCACCAGGCCCAAGTGCTGAGGTATGGGGCCATGTTGGTCCGTGTGCCTCCATCGGCCTCCTTGGTCACCCGAGAACCCCCTTGTGGTTGGGACGCTAGTCCTCTCATGTGTAGGAAGACTTCTGTATGTGTTCTTACTCTTCCCTCTTATCCACAAAGTCCTCCTCAAGGACTGGCAAGACAAGACATGGCTTATTCTTGTAGCACCAGCATGGCCCCACCAACACTGGTTCTCCACGATGTTAGACCTCTCGGTGGACACACCCATGATTCCGAACCTCATCACGAAGGACCACGGCTGCCTCCAGCATCCCAATCTGGAATCTCTCCACCTCACAGCATGGAAACTCCATAGCTGAACTTGTTAGAGTTTCAGTGCTCCGACTTGGTTAGGGAGGTTCTTCTGAGCAGTAGAAAACCCTCCACTCGCTCCACTTATCTGGCCAAGTCGAAACTGTTCTCTATTTGGTCCTCGTAGAAGGGTACCCTCTCCGCTCCAATCCTCAATCCCCTTTTATACTGGACTAGTTACTCTACTTAAAGCAACAGGGGCTGGCGGTCTCGTCAATTAAGGTGCACCTGGACACTTCCTTAAGGAGCTAGACACACTACCCACAGGTGCGGCGACTGATTTCCACCCCCCCCCCCTCCCCCCCCGGACCTCAACCTGGTCTTCTCCAGGCTCCTGAGACCCCCCCTTTGAGCCTCTAGCAACCTGCTCTTTGCTCTCTCTCTCTTGGAAGGTGGCTTTCCTTATGGCCATAACTTCAGCCAGAAGGATGCCTGAGCTCAAAGCGTTAACTTCTGAGCCCCCTTATAGAGATTCTATAAGGACAAGGTGCAATTGTGGCCACACCTGGCCTTTCTTCCCAAAGTAGTTTAGTTTTGCAGTTCCATGCAAATCAGCACATTTTCCTGCCAGTGTTCTTCCCAAACCTGCATGCCAGTGACAGGGCGCGTATGCTCTGGACATTAGACACGTACTGGCTTTTTACATTGAGCATACAAAGCTGTTTAGAAAGTCGATGTAACTGTTCAACGCTATCGCTGAAAGGATGAAAGGGCTTCCTATCTCATCCCAACAAATTTATTCTTGTATCACGGCCTGCATCAGGACGTGCTATGACCTGGCAAAGATTCCAGCCCCGGCATTGATGGCGCACTCCACCAGAGTGGAGGCTTCATCTGCAGCGTTCCTGGTGCGGGACCCCATTCAGGATATCCGCAGGGCAGCAACGTGGTCGTCTGTCCATACCTTTCCGTCTCACTGTGCCATTACAAAGCAGGCTAGGGTTGATGCCGCATTTGGTAGAGTCTGCAACTTGATGAACTCTGACCCCTCCGGGAAACTGCTTAGGAGTTACCTACTTGGGATTGACCTGAGCAATCACTTGAAGAAAAAACGGTTACCTACTATACCTAACATAACTGTTCTTCGAGATGTGTTGCTCATGGTCATTCCACGACTAACCTGCCTCCCCTCTGTTGGAGTATCTGGCAAGAAAGAACTGAAGAGGCACCGGGTCGGCAGGGACCTATGTACCTTGCCACGAAGGTGCCACCCCAGGGGGCTCCAGAGCCGACCCAGCGGGTACCACTAGGGGAAAAACCTTCCGACAATCGCGCACGCGGTGCACCCACATCTACTTGGAATGGACATGAGCAACACATCTCGAAGAATAACAGTTACGGAAGGTAGGTAACTAGTTTTAATAAAAAACTAATCACTTTAGATTAGGGATATTCTATATAAAGGTAGGCTTCCAAGGGTAGCTTCCTTCAAATGCACATCAGATACTTTGCACTTGAGTTGTATTGAATTTTTATGTATAAAATTTTATTTTATTTATAATTTTTTTTATAAAAAATAATTTTTATAGTTATGAACAAAACTTTAAAAACTACTTTAACCTAATAAGATTTGAAAAGCTCATCACTGATAGCGTCTTCCTTCTCAATTAACAATATTGTCTTCACTGGAGAACGCAATCCACATAAAGGAAACTAAGCATAGAAAATTACTGCAGATCTGGTATTTAATGGCACTGCATTTTTCCCCCCCTGAATTTATCACTTACAAAGGTCTGAATAGTTTGGGTGTGGGTAACCTGAGATACTGCCTTTTGCAAATGCAGCAAGTATGGTATGAGATCAGCAGAGCTACTTGAGCTAGAGCTCCCTTATTATAAATGGCAGGGAGTTTCGGCAGAATGTACTTGGGGAGGATTTCTTGAGATGAATCCTGCCTTGGTTTGCCAGCACCTAGATGCATTGACCACTTCAGCATGCAGTTTGAAGTCTCTCCCCAGGCTTTAGGGGAGGGGGTTTGCTTGAGAGTTATTGTTTTTAATATATTTGCTGATGAATCTGTATAAGTGAAAGAGACCCACTTTTATATGACATTTTGTGTACTTACGTTTGTAAAAGCCTCTGAGCCACTCATCCAGTGCCTCAGGAGTCCATTCCAAAAGTTGAATTTTATTTCTTTATGTGCACGGATACAAATTCTTAACTTGCCAACGGAGCTTTTTTTAATGCTGTTTAATAACAGTTTGGTAACATGTTCCTCAGAGGGCTACATTGACCGTTTTAGCTATTTGCACTAATACATTGGAGTTTGGGGATATGTGTACACATCCAGTATGTGAAGATAAGCCTTCTGGGGTCCCAAGGCCTGTACATGGTATTTCCTTTTTCTTCAGGTCCAGTACGGTAATATATTTTTCTCATAGAGAAGAGTTCTTTTCTATAAGTTGAGAAAATAAGGAAGAAAGTTTGGAAGATATGGAGCCAGTACCTCTCAACATTGTTGTTCATTATCTAGTTATAATGCAAAATGGCAAGTGTGATGCCACTATCTCCAAGCAAATAGAATGCCTTTTTCATAAATTGTATTTAATTACTTTCCACAAAAGATTATAATAGGCCAGCAGTAGTCACTGGCACTACACATTTCTGTTCTACTCTTGGTATCTACTCTGAAAATTTTGAATTTATTATACAAAAATATTAATTTGAAGAATAAGAATGCTACTAAAGAAATTGTGATAGATGACCTTCGACATGCTCAGGTTATGCTTTGTATATTTCTCTGATTTAAAGGAAAAATACTGCATTTTTATTCAATATCACTAAATTTTTTTACAGTGGTTAAATGAGGAGAGAATTATCCAGCGGCTTGTAGAAATTGTACATCCGTCTCAAGATGAAGATGTAAGTACTATTTTGTGCTTGTCAAGATCCAGCTGTTTAGCTTATTAATTACTACTGTTACAAGCAGTTATGATTCTAGTAGGCCTATCTTAGCTGACAGAAAATCTTAAAGCAATATTGTAATCAGAAATAGGACTTTAATGTCAGTATTGACTTTACTTATTTATGGAATTAGTACTTATTATCTGACCTGCATCAAAGTCTGGCCTCTGAAATTCTTGAGGGGATGAAATAGGATGGCAGGAGTCTCCTAGCAGTGCTATTCTGCCATCTTGGTGGCAGTGGAATGGAGTCCTGTCTAAAGGCATTTGATGTTTAGAAATGTGTTGAAAAAACTTTACCTTCCCCGTAAAACAACATAAATTGCTTGGCATCTGGTTGTGTTTTTTGTGGACAACTTCATAATTTCTGGGATGAAAGGATTCTTTAGATAGTGTGTAGTCCTATACTGCTCTTACAACAATTTTTTTTCTTTTTCAGAGGCATTCAAATGCATCACAGTCGCTCTGTGAAATTATTCGCCTGAGCAGAGACCAGATGTTGCAAATACAGAACAGTTCAGAACCAGATCCGCTGCTTGCAACTCTAGAAAAGTATGTTGGACAGTTTAACTTCTGATTTATTTGCCTTGTAATCTCTGAGAATGGTGGCATTTATTTTTAGTTATTTGAAGCCTTTTGGAAATAACAATAATTACTTTCCCATTACATGCATCCAACAAAATGTATGGGGGTTTCCTGAAGTAACTAAATTTATGAAAGTGAGCAAAGCTGAATTTAATTTGACATGACACAGTTTTATGCATGGTAGGTCTGGTCTGATAGTTGTGCATTATGTTGGCACTTAACAGAAGTCTGGATTTAAAACACTTAGATCTGCTGCTGTGGGCTAATAACTGCCAGAAAAATGGTGAAGGAAACCAGTTTGATATTGTGGAAGGAGGGGAAAAATGTGAAAATGGCTCTGAACCTCCATCCAATCTTGGCCAGCAGTTTTACAAAGAAACACTGTAACTACTTCTCTCTGTATAAACACTTATTTGTATTTTTAAAAGTTGTATGTCTAACTTTATTGATGTTTTCTCTCTAGGCAAGAAATTATAGAACAGCTACTATCAAATATTTTTCATAAAGAGAAAAATGAATCTGCAATAGTCAGTGCAATCCAAATATTACTGACCTTACTTGAGACAAGACGACCAACGTAAGACTCCCCCTCTCCCCCCCACCCCCATCTGTGATCACATCCTTTGTGAGATTTGTGCTGCTGCTGAATTTACCTTTTGTAGAGGTGGCATGACTTGCATCCTTCCATGAACTGCAGGATGTATTCTGCACTTCCCCCACCCCCACTCCCCAACAGGTGTCTGCCAGCTTCCCACCTGGAAGGGTCCTCTTGATCTAATGTAAAAACGTAGCCATATAAACTTTTAGATTGCATCCTTAAATACCAGCTTTATTTCTCAGTTTTTGAAGTCCTTTATGGTGGCCTTCATATCAGCTTATGTTTAGATACTACAGTGATGGAATTATAAGTGTCTGAGCACATCAGTGTTCTCAGTTGTGGTCTGGTCCCAAGATTCTCAGATTCTACGAAAAGCATGGTATGAAATGTTTGACGTGTTCCTACATTTCACAGCCTTGTTTTGATAGCTGATGATGGCTCCCATCTGAGTGTCCCTTATGACTGTTGACCACAAGCCATTTCTGTGTCTGGTCTTGCTTTCCTTGTGTTTCAGCTTCTGCTCTTAGCTGATGCTAACAGGTGCGGTCTTTAATATCTGTTGTGGTTGGATCCAGCCCAAGGGCCTATTTTGACCCCAAAGCATCTGCAACCTAGTCTTCAGCAGACTAGAACTTTTTTTTTTTTTTTTTTGGCATCAGTCTGTTCCTTTTTCTAGAACCGAAACAGGAGGAAGATGAACACTCCTTGATCACTTCCCTATCTGTTTGCTCATACTTGCCTCTCTTTAATGTTTGAATTTTTTACTTGTTTAAGTTGATTCCTCTGCCAGAGGCACAGGGTTTAAGTTAGCAGAAGATCTGCTTTGAATTAGGCTCGTGACATTACAATTTACAGCTGTCGTGCTGCAGGCATACATTGTGTCTCAAAACTTTAAGCTGTGAAGAAACACAAATTCTTCTAAATATTTTTAGTCATCTTGATGAAAAATTTTAAAAGTGACATAGGAGCTTAAGTGACTGTCAGTGAAAGTTATTAGGGACTTAGGGCATATCTACACTACAATCTTAAATTGACCTAAGTTAAGAATTCTAACTCCTCGTCAACCTAGCCCAGGGTTGGCAAACTACGGCCCACGGGCTGCATCTGGCCTGTCAGACCTTTTAATCCACCTCTTGAGCTCCCACCGGGGAGTGGGGTCGGGGGCTTGCCCCACTCCGCATGTGCCGTGGCTCTGCACGGCTCCTGGAAGCAGCGACATGTCCCCCCTCCGGCTCCTACGCCTAGGGATAGCTGGGGGCTACGGAAGTGCAAGCTCTGCAGCTCCACGTAGGAGCCGAAGGGGGGACAAACCACTGCTTCCAGGAGCTGCTTGAGGTAAGCGCTGCTGGGAGCCTGCACCCCTGACCTCCTCCCGCACCCCAATTCCCCCCAGCCCTGATCCCCTCCCACCCTCCAAACCCCTCAGTCCCAGCCCAGAACACTCTCCTGCACCCCAAACTCCTCATCCCCAGCTCCACCCCAGAGCCTGCACCTCCAGCCGGAGCCCTCACCCCTCTCCCACACCCTGAACTCCTCATTGCTGGACCCACCGCAGAGCCCGCACCCCCGCCAGAGCCCTCACCCTCTCCCGCACCCCAACCTCCAGTTTCATGAGCATTCCTGGCCCGCAATAGTTTCCATACCCAGATGTGGCCCTCAGACCAAAATGTTTGCCCACCCGTGACCTAGCCATATCTATGCCAGGAGTTAGAGTGACCTAACTGTGTCTCACAGGGCATGAAATTGTTCACATCCCTGAGCTATGCTACTAGGTTGATCTAATTTTTAAGTGTAGGCCAGGCCTTACATGCTTTTAAAACTTGTACTGTTTGGCCCAGAGCATTTCCTAGGGATTGATGATGACTTGCTATTAATCAGTGTTGCCAACTCCACACAGCAGGACGTGACCAGACAAACCCTGAGGAGGGGGGGACCGAAGACTGAGCCTGCCTGAGCCCCACTACCTTGGGTGGGGAAGCTGAAGCCCAAGAGCTTCAGCTGCAGGCAGGGGGCCTGTAACCTGAGCCCCACCGTCCAGGGCTGAAGCTCTCTTGCTTTGGCTTCAGCCCTGCCGGCTCAGGCTTCAGCTTTGGCTCCAGCACGTCTAAGCCTGCTCTGGCAACCCCATTAAAATGGGGCCGTGACCCACTTTGGGGTCCTGACCCACAGTTTGAGAACCGCTGCTCTAGATTTACCCCTTTGTGTATAATCTTTTTTTCTAGTTATAGGTTTACATAGCTGGTGCTATGTTAAGATTGTCTCTAACTTGAGTTAATATTGTAACTAATCCTGCAATATACTCATCAAACTCTTCTTTGTATATTTAGATTTGAAGGTCATATAGAGATTTGTCCTCCAGGCATGAGCCATTCAACATATTCAGTCAACAAAAGTGTTTTAGAAGCCATAAAAGCACGACTTGCATCCTTCCATGAGTTACTACTTGAGCCCCCGAAAGTAAGTGGAATCTGTAACGCTACCAAATGAAAATGGAGACAGATTACAGGCTGTCATTTAGTGATAAAGGCTTTAACAATAATTTTTCTTCAAGTGCTTTCTCATGTCCATTCCATGTTAGGTGTGCGTGCATGGCATGCACCATCGCCAGAGATTTTTTTCACCCTCAGTGGTATCCATTGGGCTGGCTCTAGCGCCCTCTAGTGCCATGCGCTCGTGGACCACTATAAAGGGCCCAGTCCCCCACACCATCTCAGTTTCTTCTTAACGCCCATGATGGTCACTGGAACACCTTCTCTTGCTTCGGCAAGGGATTCATTAAGGGTTTTTTCTCTAGTTTAGTTATCTTCCATTTTAATTTCTAGTAGTAGTGTAGATAATATTACTGTATATAGTGAGACCCCCCCCCCCTTCTTTTGCCCCAGGGGCTGGGCATGCCCTGGTCTCTGGGCTTCAAACCCTGCGCCTCCTGCAGCAAGCCTGTGCTGGTGGGTAACCCACACTCTGAAATATCTGGAAGAAGCTCACATATAAGGATGTGCCAAATCTTCCGCGACTTTTAGTCTTGTACAAAAAGGAGAGGGAGGCTAGACTAAGAGCTGACCTAATGGAAGCCACACTTAAACCTGCATCAGAGCCAAGCAAGTTGGACTCAGCACCTCAGCTTTGATGTAAAGCACTCTCTGGCACTGCATGTTTCTCAGCACCTGTCCAGTACTGAGAGAGAAGCACAAGAAACTGGTCCGAGAGAGGACACTGCCCAATATTGAGGAAAGACAAACCTGGGAAGTGCGACCCGTGTCGGACCACAACTCCACTCCTGTTCTGCTAGCAGCACCATAGACTCCACCCTGCTCGCAAGTACTGTTGAGTCCGGTGCAGGGCCATCTGCCAATGCCAGGGGATCATCATGGTGCCAGTGGGATCGCAGTGCCTTCCAACCTTGAGACCTTTGCAACGGCCAGGGTCCTGATGGGACAACTACTGGTTCCGATGAGCATGTTGAACAGAACGCAGCATGTTGCCCCGAGCTCATATCCAGCACCAGGCCCTTCGGTACTGACCAGAGGAAACCTGGCCCTTCTGTCGTCAGCAAAGATGTCTCTGGTACGGCACCGGTCGATGAAAACAAAGGGTACTGCTCCCCCATGGTCTCCTGAAGAGTTCTCTTCCTCAGAGTCAGAGGTGGAGCCCTGTGCAGAGCCAAAGGACCTCTGCCAATATCTGTTTAACATTCCGCTGGTTCTTGGTGTCTTCAAGCTGGCACCGATCCCCCTTCCGGGCTCTGACCAAGAAGCCAAAGAAAACCACGAGGGGAAGATCCCCCATTTCCCGTAAGGGCTCTCCTCCGCCCTGTCCTTTCCAAGACCCGTGCCGGGTGACTTGACACCTCCATCACGGAGTTGGGCCCCAGCTCAAGTAGAGCGGTCCAGCCCATCCTGCACTATGCCTGCCACCCCAGACAGTGATGAGGTCCTCTGTCATCTAGAAGTCCCGTCGACACCGGAGGCCCTGCAGGCAGCGCAGGAGATCCAGACGCTACCAGTGCCTCCCACACCAGCTCTGGCGGTACCCTGGTCAAAGGGTAAACCCGCCTTGGGTCCTTACTGTGTGTCCCCACCTCAGCGGCACCGCTCCCCATCGCGGGGGATGTCCTGCCAATGCTCGCCCACTCGGAGCCGTCACATCAGGGAGGCAGGCTCAACGAAGCCCTCTTCGGTCTTCTGGCCCTTGGCACTGACACGCACCCCCCAGCAAGAGCATCGCGACCAGCTGTTCGTGTCACCAAGGCCTCGGCACCGGTCACGTGAACCATCATTTGAACGCGGCCACTGGTAACTGATGCCCATCGCTGACATGCGGATCCCCGCCGTCGGGAAATCAGACAACCCGGTACCAGTCGAGAAGCGTGCAGCGTAGATCGCAGGTCTACCGATGCCGATCTGCTGAACGCCAACGGTCCCTGAGTTCCCGCATGAGGGACTGGTCTCGGTCGGTCAGGTTGACGTCGAGGCGTAGCAGCTGGCACCGCATGGAGAAGGAATGCCAGTCCGCTCGAGCATGATTGCCTGGCAGCGACCACTCTGCCTCTGGCTCCAGAACTAAGCAGGAGTCCTTGACAAGCCCTGGCACCAGCGGAAGGCAACTGATCCCGTGGCCCCAAAGCCAGTGGCTACCGGCTGCCTGGTACCCCTGGAACCTGTGGGGGTTTCCCCAGCTCTCGGAGACAATCCACTTGGTGGCGGAGTCCTCAGATAGGCCATCAGCCTCAGCATCCCGCCCTCCAAGAGAAGTAGAGGCCCTGTAAGGCAGGACACCTAGGGCCACGAGCAGACGGGAACAGTCTGCTGGACCACCAGGGGACGTGGTGGCTCCCACAGCACTGGCTTCGTCCTTATCGTCGCCCAACAAAGCCATCACGGGTCCCCCTCACCCAGTCCCACAAGATGATGCTAAGGCTCATCAGGAGCTTTTGAAGAGGGTCGCCTCCCGCCTGGGGCTCCAGGCGGAGGAGCTAGAGGAGCCCTCAGACTCCCTATTTGACATCCTCTGCTGCACGGCACCTGCTAGGATGGCTTTGCCCCTACACGAAGGGGTATCAAAAATTATTAATGCCCTATGGCAAACTCCCTCCTCCCTGCCCCCCCATTTCAAAAAGGGCTGAATGGCCATGAGTATCTCTACACCCACCTGGCTCAAAACTCTGTCGTAGTTGAGGCAGTTAATCAAAGAGAGAGGCAGGGGCAACCCGGGCCCACACCGGAAAATAGAGATTGGATCTGTTTGGGCAAAAAGTTTGTCTTCCAGCCTCCAATTGAGGGTGGCCAGCCACCAAGCCCTTCTCCACTGCTACAATTACAACATGTGGCAGGCCATGGCCAAGTGCGAGGTTTTGCTTCCCGAAGAGTTCAGGAAGGAATTCCTGGTGATCCTCGAGGAGGGCACAGCTGTGGCCAGGGTGGCCCTCCAGGCAGGTTCGGACGCGGCGGACTTGGCAGCCGGCACCATGGCCTCGGCCATCTCCATGCAGCGGGCATCCTGGCTGCTTCTCTCTGGCCTGTTGACAGAGGCTCAGCAGTCAATGCAGGACCTCCCCTTCGATGGCCAGGCCCTGTTTGCAGAACAGATGGACAGTAAGCTGCATGAGCTAAAGGACTCCCGCCCCACCCTGGAAACTCTAGGGCTGTACGTCCTCGATCCAGCCCGTAAGTGGTTCAAACAGCACCCAGCTGAGGGCCAAGGGAGCCAACCCCAGTAGGAGCTGCCCCCCAAAAAGAGCAGGGGCAACAAACACCATCCGAGCTACCCACCTTCTCCCTTCGCCCAATCGGGTTCAACCGGCAATAAGCAGGGGAGCAAGTGGGCGTTTTGAGGGTGGGCCCGAGGGCGACCTACCAGACTATACCCTGGATCTATCTTTCCCGCCTTTCTCCAATCGCCTTTCTTTTTTCTTCCCGGCATGGACCACCATAACTTCGGACCACTGGGTCTTCAGTACAGTGGCGCAGGGTTATACCTTCCAGTTTCTATCTTCCCCCCTACACCCTTCTTCCCCGTCCCTCTTCAGGGACTTCCCTCATGAGAATCTCCTCGCACAGGAGGTAGAAGGGTTGCTGCAGCTGGGTGCGGTGGAAGAGGTTCCTCATGAGTACAGGAACAAGGGGTTCTGTTCCCAGTACTACTTAATCCCAAAGGCCAGGGGCGGTCTACAGCCCATCCTGGACCTGCAAGACCTCAGCAAATACCTAAAGAAGTTGAAGTTTCACATGGTCTCCCTGACCTCCATCATCCCCTCCCTGGATCCGGGAGATTGGTATGCCACTCTCGACTTGAAGGACATGTATTTTCATACAGCGATCTTCTAAGCACACTGGCACTTCCTACACTTCACGGTGGGGTTGGACCACTACCAGTTTGCGGTCCTCCCTTTCGGCCTAGCAACAGCACCGAGGGTGTTTACCAAGTGCATGTCGGTAGTAGCTCAGGTGTTGGGCTATCCAGATCTACCTGTACCTCGACCACTGGCTGGTCAAAGGTTGATCCAGGTCCCAAGTCCAAAGGGATGTTGCAGTGCTGTAGGCCACGTGCCGATCCCTGGGCCTGCTGGTAAACAACAAAAAGTAGACGTTAGTTCTGGTGCAGAGGATAGTTTGTTGGAGCGGTGCTTGACTCCACCTGCGCCAGAGCTGACTGATCAAGGGCCGCTCAGTGGCTCAGGTGAAAAACAGCATCCCCCTGATCCAAGTCACCTTCCGTGCCCTGGGCCTGTTGATAAACAAGCAAAGGTTGACTCTTGTCCCTGTCCAGAGAATAGTTTATTAGGGTTGTGCTCGATTAGACTCTGGCCAGAGCCCTCCTCCTGAAGTCTCTGTTCCAGATAATGTCAGCTTTGATGTCGAAGGTCAAGGCTCACCTGGTCACGACAGCCTGGTTTTGCCTCAGACTTTTGGGAAACATGGCTGTGTGCAATTACATGGTGCAGCATGCAAGGCTACGCCTCAGGCCCATTCAGGCTTGGCTGGCCTCTGTGTACTTACTGAACTGTCACTACTTGGATTCCTGTTCCGGTCCTTGCCTCCCTTGACTGGTGTAAGGATCTCATATCAAGCGACCACAGGCATTCCCTTTGTCACCCCCCAGCCTTCAGTATCCCTAATTTCTGATGCATCTGATCTAGGTTAGGGGGGTCACCTTGAGCACCTCAGGACCTGTGATCCCAGGAGAGCTCTCCCCGCACACAAACGCCAGAGAGCTCAGAGTGGTCCACTTATCTTGTCGAGTGTTCCTACCGTAGATCACAGGCAAAGTTGTACGAATGCTCACGGACAACATGGCAGCCATGTTTTACATCAACAGACGGAGGAGCATGCTTCTCTACCCTGTGCCAGGAAGTCATTCGCCTATGGAACTTGTGTGAAACAGTTCACCTCGAAGCTCCCCATCTTCTGGGAGCCCGGAATGCTCTGGCAGATCATCTCATCAGGTCTTTCTCTTCAGACCATAAATGGGCCTTTCACCAACCTAGATCCATCTTCCATAGGTAGGGGTCTCCCCATGTAGACCTGTTCGTAACCAGGCAGAACAGGAAATGTCAGCAGTTTTGCTCACTACATGGTCACAGCCTGGGCTCTCTTTCAGATGCCTTCTTACTTCCATGGGCAGAGCTCCTGTTCTATGCGTTTCCTCCCATTCCTGTGGTACACAGGGTCCTTCTGAAAGTCAAGCGAGACAAAGCCAGGGTCATCCTAATAGCCACTACTTGGCCGTCACAACATTTGTTTGGTATGCTGCTGGACCTGGCAGTAGCACCCACACTTCCACTTTTGTCCCGCCCAGACCTGATCTCGCAAGATCACAGCTGTTTACTCCTCTTGAACCTCAGGGCCCTCCACCTGACCATGTGAATGTGCCATGGTTGATCCCAGCAGAACAGACCTGTTCAGAACAAGTCTGCCAGGTCTTCCTAGGTAATGGGTAACTGTCTACTAAAGCGACTTACCTAGCCAAGTGGAAACATTTCTGTGTGGTCTTCCCAACGAGGTCTCTCTCCGACTTGGTTGCCCCTTCGGTCTGTGCTGGAATACCTGCTCCATCTGAAACAGGGACTAGCTTTTTCATCGATCACAGTGCATCTAAGAGCAATCTCAGCCTTCCACCCTTTGATGGACAGTATGTCAATCTTCTCTCATGAAATGTCCATCCTCTTCCTGAAGGGATTGGAAAGATTTTATCCTCAGATTTGCAAACTGATTCCACCTAAACCTGGTCTTATCAAGACTCATGGGCCTCCCCTTTGAGCCACTGGCATCGTTCCCGCTCTTGTATCTCTCCTGGAAGGTTGGCTTCCTGATACCAATTACTTTGGCCAGGAGGGTCTCAGAAATCAGGACCCTTACGTCAGAACATCCGTATATGGTGTTCTTTAAGGACAAGATTCAACTGCGTCCCCACCCAGCGTTCCTTCCAAAGGTGGTCTCATAGTTTCATAGTAATTGGGCTATTTCCTGCCAGTTTTCTTCCTGAAACCGCACAGGAATGCAGAGGAGTGGCGTCTCCACTAGCTGGATGTTAGACGCGGCCCTGGCCTTCTACGTGGAGAGGACCAAACTGGTCTGTAAACTATGCAGCACTTTTGTGTCAGTAGAAGACAGGATGAAAGGCCTATCGATTTCCACCCAGAGAATTTAATCCTGGATCACTCCCTGTATGTGCACGTGCTACAAGCAGGTGGGCAGTCCAACCTCTTGCCATCTTGACCGTCCGTTCGACCAGGGCTCAGGCTTCATCAGCAGCATTTCTGGCCCATGTCCCGGTCCAAGACCTCTGCAGATCAGCGACCTGGTCGTCAGTTCATACCTTCTCCATCCACTACGCTATCACCCAGCAGGCCAAGGATGATGCCAAGTTTGGCAGAGCAGTGTTGCAGTCTGCATGTCCATGAACTCTGAACCTATCTCCTCAGGCACTGCTTGTCACCTAATGTGAAATGGACATGAGCAAGCACTCGAAGAAGAAAAAACTATTACTAACCTTTCCATAACACTTGTTCTTCAAGATGTGTTCCTCATGTCCGTTCCACAACCTCCTGCCCCCCTGTCGGAGCTAGCTGGCAAGAAGGAACTGAGAAGGTGTGGGACTGTTAGGCCCCTTTATGCTGGCGCATGAGCTCACGGCACCAGAGGATGCTAATTGCCTTGATAGATACCACTGAGGGGAAAAATCTTCAGCAATGGTGAACGTGGCGTGCGCACACCTAATGTGGAATGGACATGAGCCACACATCTTGAAGAACAGTGGTTACAGAAAGGTTAGTAACTTTTTTTATTCAGAAACCAGTTTAATGAAAGCTAAAAAGTATATTTTAGCCTGTTTAACGCACAGACTATAAGCCTTTTTCTGAGCCACTTATAGTTTGGCTATTCATTAGTGATCAACTACCTCTGTAATGTATTGGCATTCATATTTTCAACTGTTTGACTTTGTTTAATGGAGCAAAATAGAGAAAAAGCAATTGCACTAAAGTGCAACAAAATATCCTTTCCTTTCTTTGGAAAGGAGCATGCTTTGGTATGACATACCAAAATAAAGCAGAAATAAGTGGTCCAGAAGAAGGATGTATCATGGGGGGCGAGACAAAGCTTCCATATACACTGTGGAAAAGATTGGGAAAGCTCACTTTAGAGAGATGCTTAAGAGGATATGACGTCTATAAAAAGACAGAGGAGAAAAGGTAGATCATTTGTAGATCACCAGGGACATCTGGTGAAATTGAAAGGCTACAGATATATTAAAAAAGTGCATTTTTCATAAGGAAACCTGCAGAACTCATTGTTCTAAGATTATAATTGTGGTCAAGAGCATAGAATTTGAAGGATAATGAGAATATCCATATTTGTAGTAGGTAGGTAGGTAGCATGCTTTCTTAGAAAGGAGATAAAATCTCCATTCAGGGCACAACTGAACCACTAAATGACGGGGACACTTCTTCCTTAATCCCTGTTTGCTGTTTATTGCATAACTGTCCACTATGAGGTTTTTGCCTTCCTTGGAAGCAGCTGGTATTGACCACTGTCAGACAGTTTATCTGAGTACACAAACCACTGGTCTGATCTGGTATCGCAATTCCTAAATTCCTGTGCAAGTATGTTGGCATTTATATGACAGCAGTAGGGACCATTCTACTTTTACAGCATTCTCTTCAGTAAAACAAACATAATTATTCTGAAGTCTGCAGCTAAGGTTTATTTCTCTCTTCTGACTTTAGAAAATTTACCACGATAATTATTAATTTTCTTGCCTGGATAAATACAAAAACTGCTTAACTAGACACATGGGACTTGAATAGTTAGAGCTTGATAAAGTGTGTTCTAAATCACTGTTCTCTCCGGTAAATGTCCGTTGTGGGCCTGAATGCAGTTCCTTTTGTGTCCATAATGCCACTAAGTTTGTATACTCCATATCTTTTTATTTCCCCCAGCCTAATTGTCTTCTAATTGTTCCCAGTCCATAGTGCTAGAAAATAAGTGTTAACGTATGGAACTAAAACTTGCTGTCCCACAACATAATGTCATGCTACTACTGCCAAATTGGTCATACAAGATTCTTACCACATTTTCTGTTTGTGGATAAATAACACCGAGCTGACTTGAAATAAATGTGTACTTTTAAAAAAAAATTGTTCCCATGGACTTTTTTTTGTCTAGAAAAGTGTTATGAAGACAACATGGGGCGTATTGGATCCACCTGTGGGAAACACGCGCTTAAATGTGATTAGGTTGATATCCAGCCTTCTACAGACTAACACAAACAATGTGAACTTGGAACTTATGGAGTTGAACAGCATAGGAGTTATATTGGTAAGAATAATTTACTTACACTGTTAAAAGCTCTACACTACCCTCTTCATTTTTATAAAATCACAGAAATTAGATGGCAAAGTCCTGTTAAGATATCACAATGTCTATTCGTTTTGTCAGTGCAGATTGTGCCCTAGAGTGTTCTGCAGTAAGCCATGTGATGAGGCTTTCACCACTTTCCTTGTGAGACTATTCCACCATCTGGATTTTGTTAAACTTTCTTCCTGATGGTAACTGAGAATTTTCCTCAGCTCTGCTTAATCGTTTACTCTTTAGACCTCTATACAGTACATGGCTTTTCGTACTCCTTGGTGTTTACACTCTACAGACAGATCTAGATTGCTACCTTATCTTTGCTATCTCCCCATGCTCAAATTCTTTCAGCCAACCTACGTAAACTTACTTTGCTTTTATTCTTTCTTCCTGAGTCATTCCTTAATTTTTTTGTTTTTAATTCCTTTTAAATGTGTCAACTGTATATAGTGCATTAAGTACAGGCCCATCAGTGACATTAAGGACTGGTTATCTCCCTGGTCTGAAGTGGTACCTCTCTGTATGCTGCCGTTTAAAACCTGTGGTGGTTTTGCCACTGTATTGCACTTGAAAACCTGTATCTAGTTGGCGATCTTCTTGCCACATAGATTTTCCCACTGAATGTGTATTTTTGCCTTATGTTCTAGCATGCATTTTTTCCAGATTGCCTTTTATTTCCTACTTATGCTTCAACCTTTTTATTGCCATTATTTTTGTCCTCCTTGGCTTTGCATACACCTCTATTTTATATAATCTTAATTTGGTATGCTGTTTGTATAATACGTTGTATTAGTGTAGGGTGTAAAATAAAACTAGGTCTAAGCCATTTAAACGTTCTTCATATTCTGCAGTGGATGCCATTTTAAAATGATTTTACAAATGCAAAGTTTACTATGGTATTCCCTATACTTAGAATGGGAAATGGGAAATACCATAAATCTCATGGTAGGCTTAATTACTGTGAGTAGTAACCATCCAGTTTTAATAGCACCTTCTTAAGGAAGACTGTTGCTATTTCCTAAAGACATTTTGAATGATACATTGTCACAGTTCAGGGCAACTGCATCTGTATTTCCTCTCTCTGGTCCCTTGAGGACACCCACTCTAGGCTTCCTCAGCAGTCACATCTCTTGGGCAGAGACCCAGGTCTCCACTCCCTCCTGATTAGGGTTTTTCCAGGCTGCACAGTCCCCTTCTTACATTGTGTGATATTCCCAGCAAGCAGCGTTTGCACTTAGCTGTTTATATCATTTGGAGAGAAAGCAAAGTGCCCACACAACCCTATCTAAGCAAGCACACTTATTCTTAAGGTGAAAGTATTACAGAAAAAAATATTAAACAATAAAAACCTACATGCATGCTAATAAGCTTACCAGAGATCACCCCAACCAACCTTGGGCTCGGGTAGGTGTCAGTTCTTCAAAACCCACAACTGAGTTTTTTCTCCATGGTTACAAGGTCAGAACTGTCTCAGATTCAGAACCACCATGAATAGTTTGGTCTTTCCTTTATTCAGCTTGGGTCTTTGATCTTCAGGTTCCAGGAACCAGGTAATCAACAATATTGTCTCCTCAGGGGGTAGCTTCAAAAATCTGGGTTTTTGCATAACTGGATGTGGGAAATTTACATTCACGTCTCCCTAGAAATTCCCAGGACAACCACTTAACACGGTATGTCCTAAAAGTCCATTCTTATCTGGCACATAGTTTAATACGGTCATTTAAAGTTCATAACACTTGCCAGGATTCACATAACATTCTCTTTCCCCTTTCCCCCAGCCCCAGGCTATAAACAATACATATTGGGGAGACTACAATGGGTCATATTGGAAGGTGAACTGTTAGGCTGGAGGGAGGTTACCAGTGGAGTTCCTCAGGGATCAGTCTTGGGACCAATCTTATTTAACATTTTTATTAATGACCTTGGCACAAAAAGTGGGAGTGTGCTAATAAAATTTGCAGATGACACAAAGTTGAGAGGTATTGCCAGTACAGAGGAGGACTGGAATATCCTACAAAAAGATTTGGATTTCCTTAAAAACTGGACTAATAGAAATGGAATGAAATTTAATAGTGCAAAGTCATGCATTTAGGGACTAACAATAACAGTTTTTGCTCTAAGCTGGGGACTTATCAGTTGAAGCGGCAGAGGAGAAAGACCCGGATGTATAGGTTGATCACAGGATAAGGCTGGTAAGCCTAATTGGTTGAAACTGTAGTACAGAACAGAATTATCAGACACCTAGATGAATACAATTTTGTTGGGGAAGAGTCAACATGGTTTTTGTAAAGGGAAATCATGCTTCACCCATCTATTAGAATTCTTTGAGGAGGTTAACAAGCATGTGGACACGGGTGATCCAGTGAATATAGTGTACTTAGATTTTCAGAAAGCCTTTGACAAGGTTCCTCATCAAAGGCTCTTAAGCAAAGTAAGGTGTCATGGGATAAGAGGGAAGGTCCTCTATGGATCAGTAACTGGTTAAAAGATAGGAAACAAATGGTAGGAATAAATGGTCAGTTTTCAGAATGGAGAGAGGTAAATAGCGGTATTGCCCAGGAGTCTGTACTGGGACCAATCCTGTTCAACTTATTCATAAATGATCTGGAAAAAGGGGTAAACAGTTATGTGGCAAAATTTGCAGATAACTATTTTGAGTAGTTGGGTAAGTCCAAAGCAGATTGTGAAGAGTTACAAAAGGATCTCACAAAACTGGGTGACTGGGCAACAAAATGGCAGATGAAATTCAGTGTTGTTAAATGCAAAGTAATGCACATTGGAAAACATAATCCCAACTATACATATAAAATTATGGGGTCTAAATTAGCTGTTACCACTCAAGAAAGAGATCTTGGAGTCATTGTGGATAGTTCACTGAAAACATCTATTCAGTGTGCAGTGGCAGTCAAAAAAAGCTAAAAGAATGTTGGGAATCATTAGGAAAGGGATAGATAAGACAGAAAATACCATATTGCCTCCATATAAACCCACTTCTTGAATACTGCATGTAGATTGGTTACCCCATCTCAAAGATGTATTGGAATTGGAAAAGGTACAGAAAAGGGCAATAAAAATAAGGGATATGGATCAGCTTCCCTCTGAGGAGAGATGAATAAGACTGGAACTCTTCAGCTTGGAAGAGAGATGACTAGGGGGGGATATGATAGAAGTGTATGAAATCATGACTGGTGTGGAGAAAGTAAATAAGAAAGTGTTATTTACTCCTCATAAGACAAGAACTAGGGGTCACCAAATGAAATTAATTGGCAGCAGGTTTAAAACAAACAAAAAGAAGTATTTCTTCATACAATGCAGTGTCAGCCTGTGGAACTCTTTGCCAGAGGCCTGTTGTGAAGGCCAAGACTATAACAGTGTTCAAAAAAAGAACTAGATAAATTCATGGAGGATATGTCTATCAATGACTATTAGCCACGATGAGCAGGGATGGTGTCCCTAGCCTTTGTTTGCCAGAAGCTGGGAATGGGTGATGGGATGGATCACCTGATTACCTCTCTGTTCATTTCCTCTGAAACATCTGGCATTGGCCACTGTTGGCAGACAGGATACTGAGCTAGATAGACCATTGCTCTGACCCAATATGGCTGCTTTTATGTTCTTACGATGACTGTGAGCCACCAATGAGCTGCAGCCGTGAAAAAGTAATGCAGTCCTAGGATCCATCAGGCGAGGTATTTCCAGTAGACACAGGGAAGTGTTAATACCATTATACAAAGCATTGGTGAGACCTCATCCGGAATACTGTGTGCAATTTTGGTCTCCCGTGTTTAAGAAAGATGAATTCAAACTGGAACAGGTGCAGAGAAGGGCTAGTAGGATGATCTGAGGAATGGAAAACCTACCTCATGAGAGGAGCCTCAACAAGCTTGGCTGAGGGGAGATATGATTGCTCTCTATATATACTTCAGAGGGATAAACACCAGGGAGGGAGAGGAGTTATTTAAGCTAAGCGCCAGTGTGGACCTGACAAAAATGGATATAAACTGGCCATCAACAAGTTTAGGCTTGAAATTAGACCAAGGTTTCTAACTGTCAGAGAAGTAAAGTTCTGGAGCAGCCTTCCAAGGGGAGTAGTGGGGGCAAAAAAACTGACTGATGTCCAGACTGAGCTTGATACATTTATGGAGGGGATGGTATGATGAGACTGCCTACAATGGCATGTAGCCGATCTGTGACTGCTAGTAACAAACATCTCCAATGGCTGGTGATGGGATACTAGACGGGGAGGGCTCTGAGTTACTACAGAGATTTCTTTCCCAGGTGGGTGTCTGGTGGGTCTTACCCACATACTCAGGGTCTAACTGATCGCCATATTTGGGGTCGAGAAGGAATTTTGTCCTGGGTCGATTGGTAGACCCTGGGGGTGTTTTGTCTTCCTCTGCGTCATGGGCCACAGGTTGCTTGTAGATTTAAAATAATGTAAATAGTGGATTCTCTGTAACTTCAAGTCTTTAAATCATGATTTGAAGACTTCAGTAACTCAGCCAGAGGTAGGGGTCTATTACCGGAGCGGGTGGGTGAGGTTCTGTGGTCTGCAGTATGCCGGAGATCAGACTAGATGATCATGATGGTCCCTTCTGGCCTTAAAGTCTGAGTACCTTTGGGACTCCAAGTTACTTAATTTTAATTAAATAATGTTTTTCAGGTATATTACAGGAAGTTGCCATGTCTGTCACACATAATGGCATTGCTAAATTTTATTAAAAAATCTCAGATCATTGAGTATTTCTAAGAACTCTCTCATAATTCTGAATGTTGCCAGTGACAGTTGCCGAATTTCTTGTTTCCATATAAGAAACATAATTGATCTAAATCAGAGAGATCGAAAAATTAACATTTAAATGTATATTTTTTCACTATGTGCCTTTGTGTAGCCAGTACTTGAACATAAAAATATTAAAGTATTGTAGGGAATGAAGGGTAGGATTGGAAGTATGGACATCTGGGTTGTCTTTCTGACTCAACTCTTGTCCCTCTATTTCCCTATCTATAAATTGACCAGTACTGATCTACATCATATGGCAACTATGGGTTGTAAAATTGCTATTTAGGTGCCAAATGTGTTTCTAAAACAATAAATTGCTATCTAAGCCATATACGAAATTTTAAAATATTTAAGAGATTGCCAGTTACTGTCTGACTTTCTAGAACTACACTGCTGCTTGTTGTGTTCAGTGAAAAAAACCCAGTATGTGTAATCAAATCCTTTTGAATTTGTCTTGCAGGATATGTTCTTTAAATACACATGGAATAACTTCTTGCATACTCAAGTAGAAATCTGTATTGCATTGATTCTTGCAAGTCCCCTTGAGAGCACAGAAAATGGCACAATTACAGATCAGGACTCCATTGGGGACAGTCTCTTACTGAAACATGTAAGTTGTGCTTTTGTGGACATTTTGACATTGTAAGCCTTGTTCTTAACTATTGTAGCTGTTTCTCTTTCTAGTGGAAATAAAACCGTGTCTTATTAAATAGAGGCATGGAATAAAAAAAAAGATTTAGTGACAGTTCACTACCCATGTTGAAGGCATGGTTTTGTTGATGCATGGTAGATTGCTCTCCAGCCTGCTAGGAGCTGGGAGGGCTGCAGCAGTAGCTCATCCATCCCTAGGATGAGACTGTTGTGTGGGACAACTAGTGTCTTGGGTCTGTCTGAAGAGGAATCCCTTTAACTTAAGAGTAGATTTGACTAGCTCTGAAGAGAATCCTTTCTGGTTTGCTGGGAGTCTTGTAAACGTTGTATGATTTGGGACCCAAAGTTAGGGTAATCTGGACGTTCTGGACTATTAATTTTGTCATTCATGAAAATAAATTTTCTGAATATAGCTCATAGTTCACTTAGGGACAGATTTTCAAAAAATTTCCGTACTCAGCAGATTGTGTTGAGAACAAAGGGACCTGAACACTCACTTAGGTGCCTAAATAGGAGTTGTAGGGTGCTGATCTCAAGAATTTTTGTCTTTAATATAGTGAAAAGGGCTTAATGCACTTTGAGTTTTGTTTTGTGAACATAAAAACACATTATGTGATCTAATAGTTTTCTGCCTGAAACTAATTGCTACTTCTATTTGAAATTATCTTAATATATGATACTTTATACTTAAGCTTCTAGAAACACTAAGCAAACACTTTTTTTTAATAGCTTTTTCTTAAGTGCCAATTAGTGGAACGAGTACTTGAAGCATGGGAAATGAATGAGAAGAAACAGTGAGTAACAAAGCCTTTACTCCTTTCCCAGAAATTGAAGTGCTACATTAGATTTGATGTAACATACGAGTGCGTGATCAGTTTAGAATTGAGTCTACTACAGTAAAAGCTTTGTTATCCAGCATGTTGGGGGAATGAGGAGGGGGTGTTGGTAAGTCAAAAATTCCAGTTAATTAAGAGGGAGAGTGTTTGTTTGGGTGCGGGAGGGGGCTCAGAGCTGGAGGTTGGGGGGCAGGAGGGGGTGTGGGCTGCTGGATCGGGGCGGCGCTCACCTCTGGCAGCTCCCCACAAGCGGTGACATCCCTTCCGCTCCTAGGAAGAGGCGTGCCTCTGCCTGCAGGCACTGCCCCCGCAGCTCCAATTGGCCGCATTTCCCGACCAATGGGAGCTGCGGAGCCAGTGCTCAGGGTGGGGCGGAGGCAGTGCACAGAGCTGCCTAGCCTCTGTCTAGGAGCGACAGGGACATGGGCGGCTCCCTGCAAGTGGCAACAAAGTGAGCACCGCCCTCTGACTCCCCAACCCCCTGCCCTGAGCCCCCTCCCACAGCCCGAGCCACGCAACCTCTCCCACACTCCGAACCCCTCGTGGCCGTTCCTCCACCTAGGAACAGCAGGGACATGTCGCCCCTTCCGGGGAGCCACGCGGTGTCAGGTAGGGAGCTTGCCGGCCTCGTGCCAACCCGACTATAAATCAGACTTTCAATGAAGATCAGAAATGCTGGTTTATAGAGCTTTCCAGTTGGTAAAGTGCTGGATAACACAGCTTTTACTGTAATGTGTTCTTCCCCACCTCACCTTAAAACAAATTTTACAAGAGGCATAAACAAACATGGAATATGTTGAACATGCTTTTCTCCTTTTTTCAGTAGGTGTGAGGTGTAATTATCTTTTGTACATGAATAAAAATGCAAGTTAAGCTGGTAAAATAACTTGGGCAAGCAGGGCCGACTCCAGCATTTCTGCGGCCCCAAGCGCCCAAAAAAAAAAAAAAAAAAAAAACGCCGCGACCGGCGGCGGTGGCAGTTCGGCGGCAGGTCCTTCGCTCCTAGAGGGAGTGAGGGACCTACCGCCCCCAAATTGCCGCATGTGCCGCCCCAAGCACCTGCTTGTTAAGCTGGTGCCTGACGCCGGCCCTGTGGGCAAGGAAGCACACTGACACTTGGACTAGAGCTTCTGTTGGCCTTTAAGTTTCTGATTTCAATTCCTTGCACTTTTCTTCCCCTGGCAATGTTGATCCTTCCCAGACTGAACCTGTTGGTCCAATAAGTATAGGGTTTTGAAATTCCTAACGGATCCTGGTGTGAGCCCTTGGTCCAACTCTGGTCCATCAGACCCTCCTGTACATCAGGAAGAGGTACTGAGAAGTGCCATCCCTGGCACTGTGACCTCCAGATCTGGGGTTCACAGGAGTAGAGCGAAGGATTCCTCCAGGCTCTCATCCAAAAAGAGGACCTGTTCTCCAACCACTTTCAAGTTGAGTGAGAGGCCATGCCCTGGTACAGGAGTGTTAGGATCTCACAAGGAGAATGCTACCATTCTCCCAGCTCTGATGGACAAAAGCACTCTGAAACCAGCACTATGTGTAGGGGTGGGGCAATCCCTGGTATGGGCAAGAGAAAAACAAAAGTGGGTACCTCCTACACAGACACGCAATTGTAATGAGTCATTGGTACCAAAGACTGCAATGAGACTGATGCTGGCGGCGCCATGAAAAGAAGGGAGCCCATCCCACTCCCTTGAGTCTAGGGCTAGGTATGCTGCCCAGAGGAAATGGCCATCTTCACTAACCTGGAATCCCCACTCCTGTCAGAACAGATCCTGAGCAGGGACATCTCCGCACCATTGGTCCAGGGCATGCAGGAAAGGGAGTGTCGCTCACTGATACCATCTACCAGATGGGGGGTAAGGATCCAAGGATCAACGGCACTGCCCATGGATTTTGAATCTGCTACCTTTATCTGATGAGTTGAGTGTTAGGGGGCAAGTGCCATCACTGAGACAAGGGGTCAATCCAGACAGAGGATCCAGAGTATCTTGGGCATAGTCTGTATCTCATAAGAGCGATTGTGCACCTCAGAACTAATGGTACCCTACTCCATGGAGACCACCCCAGTTCCCTTTTGTCTCCTCACATTAGCCTTACTGGAATCCATACATGCGACATCCTGAATTCTTACAGTACCACAGGGAATCCAGACAGCCCTCCCTTTGCAGAGAAGATCCTGAACCTCAAAAACTAATGGAGGGAAGAGGAGGGAACCACCAGCTCAAACGGGGTTGGAATCTTCAAGCGCAGGCGAGGTGGTTGCACCAACCTCATCATTACCACCTGTTGACTACAGACAATTTAAAGACCAACTGAGGAGGACAACTGACAGACCTTTCCACATGTTCCACTTTTACCTCAGGTTCTGAGGAATGTGAAGCAACAGGGAGTATCGATGTTGATTTGCTCCCAGATGGCCCAGACAATTCTGGTTTCCCAGCATTCACCAGATATCAGCATGCCCATGCATCCATATTCAGCTCTTCCCAGACCTGTTGACCAAGGACAGAGGCAAGATCAGACATCCCACTCCAGCATCCCTCCACCTGATAGCCTGGTATTTGGATGGGCAACAAACCTAGAAAAGGCATGTTCAGAAGCACTACAATCTGGCCTTAACAGTAGGAAGGATTCCATACAAGTGCTACAGAGAAAAGTGGAAAGGAGTTTTCGGATTGGCACCAACACTGTCTAATAACTCCGAAAGATGACAACATCCCTGACATTTTGAACTACCTTTTCTCCTGAAAGACTTTGGAAGTATCTCTTAGCTCTATGTGGATGCACTTAGCACTTATCAAGACCTGTCACCCTCTGGAGAACAACCAGAGGGGTGAAGAATGTTTTTTAAAAGATAGTGTTGGTGTTAGAACCTCTGATAACAAAACCTACCTTGACTGGGACCTCAGTCTAGTCCTGTCAGCATTAACAAAGACTGTGTGAACCCTTGGCATCATGTTCATCTGTCGATGAAGGTTACCTTTCTGGTTGATATCACCTCAGCCAGAGGAGTAGGTAAGCTGGGGGCCCTCCTGGCTGATCTGCCTTACACTTTCTTCCACAGACAAAATTTCGCTGAGACTACTTTGGAGGTGAATTTTTGATGTAATCTCTGAGTTCCATCTAAATCAGACCCATATTTTGAAGAACTCAGTTACTGTATAAGCTAAGTAACTTTTCATTCTGCAAAGATCTTGGTGTGCTTTGTTTGACAGTGTTGACACTGAACTCTCATGAGGAAGTAGTATGGAAAATGACTCCCTACAGATCTACTAACCTCAAGCTCCCATTAAAAGATGTGCAGACTTTCTCAAAGATGAACCAGTATTTAGCACACAGGCCAGTTCTCTGACTTTTTCTTGTAAAGCAGCTTGATAGCTGTGGCTGGTAACCTACTACAGTAAAGAACTGAGAATGTATTGTGAACGCATGGAAGTGACTCGTAAGAAATATGTAGGCCCATCTTTAACTCTTATTGCACACTGTAGTAAATGTAACGAAAGAAATCCCAGTTGTTTTGTTCTTCAGTAAGTTTTTTTTCTAAGGATTATTAAAATTGGGAGCCTAATATGAGACTTGCATTCCTGTGACAGGACACCAATTAATTAATATTACACACTATTTATATAGCACCAAAAATTATGCCCGACACTTTAGACAAGGACCTTCAAGCGCTTACAATCTAAACTTCACGAGAGTTGTTTTGGGGGAGGGGATGCACTATAAAGCAAAATTACTGAGGGGCTGTTCTTGGCTTGGTTCTTTAACTTCTACAATCTTTTTGTCTTTATAATAGAACATAGTCTCTCATTTTTTGATGTTGAATACATATTCTTCCTCCTTTCACTGTTTTTATTCCTGGCCAAATGCTCTGGTCTTGTGGAGTCTGCTTCTCTTCTTGGTATAGACAGAAATGAAAGAGACCAGCTATTAGATAGGTTTTCATACCATGCCCGTGATATCCAAATACTTCCAAACCCACAATAGGAAGTAGTACCTCCAACCGCCAAAATAGACCATGATTTAAATGGGGAGAGAAACTGCCAGTCATTTCTCTGCCTCATATATGGACAGTTATAAGGATAACAAGTCATCTGTTATGCTAATTTATACATGTTTTAGGCTGATAGGTGTACTGTAGGAATGAGGGAGAGGGAGGAAATGGTAATTAAATAAACAAAAGCAGTCACTCACTTCAGGCCTTCAGTCTCCTTAATTCATTACCAAAAAATAAATAAATTAAATAAAAAAAACCCTAAACCCTGAGCAATCACTCATGTAGGATTTATAGAGCACCAGATAGAAAGGGAGAGGTAAAACAATGAGCCGAACAATGTTTACGCCTGAGGGCATTCTGTGCCAAAATATTAAAAATTCTGCACCAAAAAAATTAAAATTCTGTACACAATATTTTAAAATGCTGCAAAATTCTTTAAATGTTATTTGTCAAATAAATGTGGAGGCTCCAGCATGGCACTGGGGAGCACAGGCCACTGGTTGCACAGAAGTGAGAGATCACTGTGCAGCTCCCTCCACCCCCATCCCAGACAGACTCAGCAGTGAGGCTGCACCCAATCCTGACACAGTGCAAGGACGGGGCCTGCCCCAGAAACACCCCAGAGCCCCGCCCCTCTGTGCTCAGTCGGGTATCCGGGTGTGGAGGGGATCTGAATGCAGAGGGGCTTGTTGGGGGGGGTTCTTGGTGCAGTAGTAATGGGACTCTGCAGGGGGTCCAGGTGAAGGTGGTTGAGGCTCAGCGGGCTCTGGGTGTGGGAGGCTCAGTGGGGTGGGGAGGTCCAGATGCTGGGGGAGTGGGGCTCAGTGGGGTGGGTATTGAGGTGCAACTGCTTGGGGCTTGGTAGGGTGGAGATCTGAGTGTGGGTGGCTCAGGGCTCATCAGGAGGGTTCTGAATGCAGGGGTTGGAGGGTTAGGTTCGGCAGGAGGGTCTGGGTATGAGGGCGTCTGGATGCACAGGGGTTGGGCAGATGCAGGAGCAGCTCCTTGTACAGAGATCCTTCCCCCTGCAGCTGAGGAGCGATGGGTGCAGGAAGCAGAGGGAGAGGGTGTGCGAGTTTGCAGAGCTTTCTGCAGCTGGGGGAGAAATTTGTGGGTGGGTCTGACCTAGCCGCGAATGCCGTCCAGGGGAAGAGGAAGTCCCGTCCTCCCTAGCCCAGCCCGGACTAGCAGTTGAGCCTGCACACGTTAGGAGCCACCATCTGGGTCTTCCTTAGATCCACCTCCTGCCCCTCAGTGATTTACCTCTCTGCCGGCAGCCCTTGGCACCCAAAACATACTGCTAGGAAGGGTTGCTTGACCGCTCCTGTGGCTTCCCTTTGCTTCCCCATCAGAAAGTCCTTTTTCTGCAGGGAAGCAAAGAAATCTGCAGGGGACATAAATTCTTTGCATGTGCAGTATTCCCCCAGGAGTAAATGTTGTACAGATTAAGTCTGTAAGAACACCACACTTGGCTGTAAGTGTGTGCACAGTGTATGTCAGTGCTTAAGCTTGCCATGCTTAAATATCTTCTCTGCTTTCACAATGCTCAAGGAGGTTCTGCTTGATGGCTGTGTTTCTCCATTGATGGGCTTGTCTTGCCTCTCTAAATACAGTAACTGACAACACTCCATGTGGATCTCAATGCTTTAATCAATTAACTTTAAAAGCAAGACCAAATGAGTTTTAAATTGGATTGAATTGTAGCTAAAAGACTCATGAGAACATCTTGTCTTGGTTCTTATTGTGGGTTGGGGTGGTGAAATATTCACTATAATCAGGTTTGATTCACATCAAGAAAGGGCATCAGTTAAGAGACTTTGATAAAAGTGTAACTCTTAATAAGGTGTCTAATATTAAAATGAGGTTGAGACCCACTTTGGGGTCGCAACCCACAGTTTGAGAACCCCTGCATTAAGCTATATTGAATTAAGGCCACTTCAGTTCCGAATGTCTCCACACAGGGGTTTAATGCAGTCTTTCAAACAGGGCTATGTTAATGTGAATTACGCATCTTTTAGTTTGTGCCAGCAGCATCCATGTGGGGGCAGTTAGAGCATAACGTTTTGGTGTACTCTGCTTTTCACACCTCCAGAGTGTGCATTGTGGCACAGTGTAGACAAGTCTTTAATTCATTAAACAAAACCTAATTAAGGTCACTTTAATTCTGCATCAGTTTCCACACAGGTTTAATGCATTTTAACTAATCCACTTTAACACCTTTAGTTAATTTGGATTAATTTTCCTTAGTGTCCCTATATAGACAAGCTCTTTGTGCAAGATATGGCTTGTAAGTTTTCTTTCTCCTGAGCTGCCCATCTAATTGCTTTTATAACTGAGAAGCTCATTTGAATAGCAGACTGGATTCCTGCCTGCCCAACTGGGCAAGTGGTTCCTTAACCCAATCTCGCTTTTCCTCAAATGCAGCCAATATGTCCAGGCTGAGGACAGATATCCCTGTCCTGCAACCAGCTGCTGGTGTTTGGCAGTGCAGCTCAGATCTAGATGTTTTGTCTAACTTTCAGTTTCTCAAGGCTAGGCCAGCTCTGGCTAGTCTTAACTGTTATCCTTCAGCCCTGCAAGGTGTCATTCTGGGAGCTGCTATTTCCAGTTCCTTGTCAGGCACGTTAGCTTTGGCAGCGGAACACTTTGGACAAAGACCTAGGAATTTCTAGTAATGTCCTGAATGCCATTCTCAAACTACAGTCCCAACTAATCTAGTACGTAGAAGTTTGTTAGCCCTTGTGTTAGGCTAGCCCTGAGACAGAATTTACAAAATCTGGGAATATTTTATTGTAGCCTGGATTAGTGAATTGTCTTAGCACTGTTAGAGACTCAAAACTCCCTTTCTGGAATATTTTGAAGTATTAAGTGAAAAGTATTAGTTTTCAGGAAAGGTGTCTGAACATCCTATGTGAGGTAGGTTCTCCAAACCTGTTGGCAAATTAGATCTAATATTAAATGGATTTTCGCTCTTATTCTGACCATACTAACTTCCCTCAAAACTATGTAGAAGCAGGAGAATAACTTGATGACTAAACATGCTTCTCTTTCTTTATGGATAGCTTTATGCATTTTAGAAACAGTTCAGAGAGGGAGCCCAAAAAACATATTTTAGCAGCCCAAAAACGTTTTGGTTTGAAGTATACATTACTCATTCTCCTTATGAGTATTTAAAGTACTTTGCTTTCTCGCTTGACTCGTCTAACTTTTTGTGTTGCTTCCTTGGATTTATAGGCTTAGCATTCCATAACTACAAAATACTTCAACAGCCAGCTATTTGGGAAGATGAACATTTGAACTTCTCTTTTTCAGGGCTGAAGGAGGAAGGCGGCATGGTTATATGGGTCATTTAACAAGGATAGCTAACTGTATTGTGCACAGTACTGATAAGGGGCCAAACAGCGCACTAGTACAACAGCTTATTAAAGGTAACACTAAACTTCTGCAGGTTTGTTTCACCATTCTGTTAGTTGGATTTGTAGAATTAAATCATGCTAGGTATTTAAAAGGCAGCTTTTAATAGGGGCTTTGCTTCTTTCCCTTGGACAAACAGCTTTTGGAAAGAAACGGTTTACTGTTTGTGTAAGTTCGGGTAACCTATTAAATTAGGATACTCTTAAATATATGACTTGCTCTCCCCAAACTTAGGGAAACAGTGCCCTGGCTTCTTAAAATAAATGTGAGTGGGGGTTGCCTGCTAAATTCCCTGTGAGCTGCGTGGCCACGCAGCAGCCTATTAAGCACTGCGCAGGGGCTTAGGAAACCCAGCCCCGGCGAACCTGCTGCAGCCGGGGAACAGGTGCTCCTCCCCCAACCGGAACCCAGCTCTGGCCTGGACCTGCCGTGGCCGGGGGACAGGTGCTCCTCTCCTGGCCCCCACCTAGTCTGACCCCTCCCCCGCAACTGCCACAGCCAGAGGATAGGTGCCAATCTCCTGGCCCCAGCCCACCCCTCGACCTGCCGTGGGTGGGGGAGAGGGACCTATCCCACGGCCCCAGTCCCGGAGCTGCTGCGGCGGGGAGAGGTGCCTTTCCCTTCCCAGCCCAGATGCTGCTGTGGAGAGCGAGAGAGAGAGAGAGAGCTGGGAGGGATCCTCACTCCCTGCCATAGCCCTGGGGCACCCTGCACCCCAAACGCCTCATCCCCGGCCCCACCCCGGAGCCCTCACACACACACCCCCCCAGCCCTGAGCCCCTCATCTCCAACCCCACCCCAGAGCCCACACCCCCCAGCTGGAGCCCTCACACCCCTGCACCTCAACCCATTGTCCCAGCCCTGAGTCCCCTCCCACACTCCAAACCCCTTGGCCCCACCCCTACCACATTAATTTTATGTGCACCAATATGAAGGTGATATGTCACACATCTCCTCCATACTGGTGCACATAACAAAATTAATTCTGCACATGTGCGGAAAAATTAGAGGGAACACTGGTGGCCTGCCCTAATGAAAACTACACTGAATCAAGTATCTTCTTCTGGAGAATGGCTTATTTACACAAGTACTTCTAGAATAATTACTCTCCAGCATAGGCCTTCTCAGTCTCAGCTATCCCTTGTGTTCCTTCTTGCAGTGTTGATCTTTCCCAAGTCCTCACGTGCTCGAGGTTACTCCCACATTCCTTATACTCATGTACAGTTACAGGCTTACTGCACCGGTGAGCCATTGAGATTGTCATCTAATAGACTGGAGATGTCTGCCTGAAAACCACACCTTGTTAGAATAAACAGTGCCTGAGAAAATTTTCAATTGTATGTATAGCATAACATGTTCTGCAGTGATTTTTGCAAGTTTAATTTTGGGAGCTGAGAAGAGAGTGAAAACTAACTGCCTTGAGTGATATTGGTACTAAAACTTTTTCCCTCCATTTTACTCTAGAGCTTCCAGATGATGTCAGGGAGCGATGGGAGACCTTCTGTACAAACTCCTTAGGAGAAACTAACAAAAGGAACACAGTGGATCTAGTAGGTTTTGTAAGATGAAGTTTGAAAAGTTACTGCTGTTATAAGGACATCCTTTTCCCTTCCCATGTGTCAGGGATACAGTTGCAGTGCAGTCTTTTCAGCCATCATGCTTCTCACAGAATGTCAGCAAACCTCTCCAGTAGCTGCACTGTGGAATTGGCACCTCCCTGTTTCCTTTGCAAATATGGCTGCCTTATTGGCACTTTAATATGGTTTTGCAAGGGTGTTTGGAGTTGGGCTCATATTGTATTGCACCTCACTCTTAAAGTACCACGCAACAGGAAGATGTTACTTTGCAAGTCCAAAACTGCTTGAAGAATTGAGACTAAAATTGCTGAAGCTGGGGTTTTTCATATACAGTATGTAAGCAAGCCTACATACAGTTAAAGTGAAACTGCTTCCTGCATCATTGAATGATGCACACAAATACCTACCTCACTTTTAATGAAGAAATATAATTTTGCCTTGATTACAGTCCTGTCATGACTATTTTGTTCTGCACTGAGTGATTCAGAGATTACATTGGCCTTTTAAAGGCTAAACACATCTAATTGTGAGGTACAGAAATAGTCTTAAACAGAGGCAGCATTTTCTGTTTGTTATATTTAAAGTCAAGTGTCAATGTATCAGCAGTCAGGTCCCTCAATTCAAAGTAGGACAAACTTGATTTTTTTTTTTTTTTTTTTAAAACTGAGGTGGTTGCCTACTTGGGCCTCATTATAATTGTGTTTTGTTTTTTTTAATTTCTCCAAGAATCACTGGTTTATTTGTGGGTTCACTAAGTGGCAATTATACATCACTAATTTGGACCAAAAAATGAATAAAGATTGTTAAATCTGTTCTTAATTTATTAAAATTTTCACGTGAGAGTACAGCAATGCAAGATTCGCAGCAGAAGGCCATGTGTGAAATAAAAATAATTCAGAACCCTAGAGTTGCCTAACAAAGGCATAAAAACAATGAATTCATGGGGTTTTCTGATATCTGTAATGGATACTAGTCAGAACTGCATTGGATATTTATTCAAGAAAACAATGCATCCTACTGGGGAAGAAACATGATTTTTTTGGATCTATAGCCTTATTGGAAACGGCCAGGTCTGCAGTGTGATTCTGATCCAACTTACCTTGATAGCCTCCTGACATTTAGAAATGTTGCATGGTTTAGGTAAATGTGTGGAACCATTAAATTTCTTTGTTTGAGAAAAGCTTTTTCTTGATCCTGGGGTAAAACAACCTGCCATGATTAATAATAACCTAATCTGAGAAACATTAATCCAAAATATAGATTACTAGTGTTGTGCGGTCAGAGCCTCCAGCAGGTTTTCTTACAAGTTTTCTCTAGGTCAGTCTAAATTTTTAAGCCAGGTTGAATATTGGATTATTAACTTTCTTTGATATAGATATGCCCCATTCCTTTTAAAACTGTATATCCAACAGAATTCCAGTCAAAGTGGGGCCAGCAAAGTTTAATGCTGAACTGTCTCATGTTCAGTTTAAGTTTCTTGAATTAACTGCAAGACTCCTAGCTCTTCTGTAGTAGATCCCCTTGAGTCTGACAACTGCAAGTCTCTCACAAATGGGGGTCTGATCTCTCAGGTACACTAACTGGTCTGACATAAACTCTAATTAAAATAGCACTTTTAAGCAAGTTTGCTGTTGGAATTTCATTGAAATAACTAATCATCGTAAAGATCTCCAATTTTTCATGATTATGGTATCCCTTCCATCAAAAATAAAAAGCCTTTCTTACATTATTACTTCGGGGCCTTTAACACAATTCTTATTTTGAAAATCTTAACTAGTTAAGGAAAGTGAACCCAGCCTCTCTCGTCTGATACAGCATAAGTCGGAAATTGGCTACAGTGAGTAACTTAGTGTTTCTGCAGTTGTAGTGATTCACTCATGTCTTATTTAGGCTGGTTTATTTAATTTGACTTTTTAAAAATAATTTTAGAATCATAGTATCATAGAATCCTAGAAGATTAGGGTTGGAAGAGACATCAGGAAGTCATCTAGTCCAACCCCCTGTTGCTCAAAGCAACTAAATCATCCCAGCCAGGGCTTTGTCAAGCCGGGCCTTAAAAACCTCTAAGGAGATTCCACCACCTCCCTACGTAACCTATTCCAGTGCTTCACCACCCTCCTAGTGAAATAGTTTTGCCTAATATCCAACCTAGACTTTCCCCACTTCAACTTGAAACCATTGCTCCTTGTTCTGTCATCTGCCACCACTGAGAACAGCCTTAGTTCATCCTGTTTGGAACCTCCCCTTCAGGTAGTTGAAGGCTGCTATCAAATCCCCCCTCACTCTTTTCTTCTGCAGACTAAATAAGCCCAGGTCCCTCAGCCTCTCCTCGTAAGTCATGTGCCCCAGCCCCCTAATCATTTTCATTGTGCTCTGCTGGACTCTCCAATATATCCACACCTTTTCTGTAGTGGGGGGCCGAAAACTGGACACAGTACTCCAGATGTGGCCTCACCAGTGCCGAATAGAGGGGAATAATCACTTCCCTCGATCTGCTGGCAATGCTCCTACTAACGTAGCCCAATATGCCGTTAGCCTTTTTGGCAACAAGGGCACACTGTTGACTCACATCCAGCTTCTCATCCACTGTAATCCCCAGGTCCTTTTCTGCAGAACTGCCGCTTAGCCAGTTGGTCCCCAGCCTGTAGCAGTGCATGGGATTCTTCCTTCCTAAGTGCTGGATCTGCACTTGTCCTTGTTGAACATCATCAAATTTCTTTTGGCCCAATCCTCCAATTTGTCTAAGTCACTCTGGACCCTATCCCTACTCTCCAGCATATCTACCTCTCCCCCCAGTGTAGTGGATAAGGTCTATATTTTTAAGCTTTTCTAATTTTTTTATCAATTTCAGTTTTCACAGTTGTGCAAAATGATGGGTTTTAAGCATTCTTTTCCAATTCTCTCTTTAAATTTTCACAGTTTTGGTAAATTATGGAAGGGTTGGACAAGGGGAGATCAGACAATTGAATGAAAAATACTGAGCTTCAAAAAGATGAAACTTCGTAACCGTTAAAACACAAATTATCACCATCACATGTCTAAATATAAAACATAAATGTCCTTAAATTCAGCTCCAAATTCTCAGCAGCATTTTTCTTAATTTGCCTATCTGTAAATTTTGTTTATTAATAGAAATTTGTTCATTGGTTTGTTTGTGTATGATGAAATTGCAGTTTACTGACATTTACTGATTTAAAAAAAAGAAAAAAAATAATCCTTCCAAGCCTAGTCTTATGATGATAGTGATTGTTAGTAGGCCATACTGACTTTTTTTAGCTCAATAAATTGGTTAATATACTAGATTTCTATGGAGAAAAGCTATGCATTTAAAGATTAATTTGTGTATCCTAATGGTAAATTGCTCCATTCATGAGACATGAAAAATCTCAAGAAGAAAGACATTAGAACTGGTAGTGAATACACAATGGGTACTTGTAAACAACACTAGTAGCTTCTAATTTTTCTTAAACTGTAAAAACTGTTTTGCTATTGTCTTTGATAACTACTAGAGAAAGAGTTCAGATACTGGTCTTTTAATCTAGTACTTGAGCCTACTGTCTGTGTTAAATGAAGAGCTTGATAAGAATCCTGAAGTGTTTTTCTTGCAGCTATGCCTAAATTTGGTTTCAAGCTCATTCAGTTAGCTGGAATTTTGACTTAAATCCTCAAGTGTTTACTTTGGTTTGATTTTATTTGTGTTTTAGTTACCTGTTATTTACAGATTTACTAGTTAGAATTTAAGAAACCTGAAGTTGAACAAAAGTGATTGGGATTGTGTTTAATCCTGAACAGATGGTTTTGGTAGACTAGAAAGCAAGATCAGATGACATGATTTACTCAGTTCCATATTATAATGCCTAATTGAGGCCTAAAACAATTTTTCAAGTGAAAAATATGCTATATGCACAATCCACACTATAATTTATAAGTAATTTGCAGTTTACTGTTGAATTGTTCCAAAGATTCATTTGGTTACTTAAGTTGTTTAAAACAAGTAGTATTCCATTCCCCTGTGAGGCCGTGAATTCAAAAACATTGCATAGAAAAGTCTTGCTGTTTTATTTTTACACTTCTATAATTCTTTCTTTGATCTCAGATTATGGGTAGTTTTTAGGGGGTGAAACTGATTTGTTGTTATGCATGAATTGAATGTTAAAGGTAATCTTTTTTAGGCTGTCATATTTATTTTAGAAAGTGGATAATTTGTTTCAAAATAACAAATAAAAGAATTGGTCCCTTTTCTCTATGCCAGTGTTTTTCAACCTTTTTTCATTTGCTGACCCTTAAAAAAAGTTTGAATGGAGGTGCTGGACCCCTTTGGAAGTTCAACCTGTGGTCTGTTGGCTCCTACTGTAAAAATCATAGACTGAAAACTGATTGTTCAAAATTCAACTATAAGCATTGCATGTTCTCAGCACGGCATTTGACACCGAGTGAGAGAGGGCGCTAAACTGTGGGCTTCTCCAGTAATGACAACACTTCTGGGGTTTGACCTGTAGGTGGGGGTATTCACATACCTTTGATCAGATAAACGGAACACCTTTTCTTGGATCTGAAACTTTATTTTCATAGTCACCTTTCGCGGACCCCTTAGCAGGGCCTTAACCAGAGCGGAATAGCTGCCCAGGGTGCAAAATCATGGAGGTGAACAAATGGGGTGGGAAAATAATGAAAAATGGCAGGGGGCGCAAATGTGCTTGCTCACCTCGGACACTAAAATGCCTAGTTTTGGCTCTCCCCCTTAGACACAGTCTGTGGACCCCCACGGGTCCGCAGACCACAGGTTGAAAACAACTGCGCTATACAGTGTTTTAGTTTTCGTAGAAAGCATTACTAAGCCTGATCTTAGTAAAGTTACCAGGTTCTGAGAATTAATTAGGAGTTGTGGGCACTCAGCACTTCTGAGGATCAAGACCCTGATGAGTAAGTGTAAAAATGTGGGTTTTTGGTTTTTTTACATCTGTTTTTTTTCCCCCTTGTTAAATCGTCTCCTGATTTATGGGCACATAACAATTGCTATATTGGACACTGGTGAGGCAAGACGGGCTGACTCCAGCAGTGGCCAGTGCTTCAGAGGAAAGCAAATTCAGCTTCCACCCTCAAAAACAGTGTTCTTACTCAGCTATATAGTGCTGTAACTGGGTAAAAAGTGTTTTGATTCACAGTGGATGACTACTAGACTTAATTGGTAGAATTGTTAATAAGCTCACTTTCATGGAAGAACTTCCTTATTAACCGGAATAATTTCATATTGTATCTAAATGGTAAGATACAGTTTTATTCCTGTGTTATCCTATTTGGCCGGTTTGGACCTATTAAGTAGCATCTACTGAAGGAACTCTAGAGTTAGTTTTGCTAGATGTTAAAGATGGAATTATTCACCAAAGGTGTTAAACACTAATGTAATGACTGGTGACATGCAAATATAATGTTAGTGGATGAAATATATGCATTTACAGTTGAAATAGTGTGTTTGCTGGGCTAAAAATCTTCTAGTTCATATTTTTGTGATGAAATTAATGACCTTGCATAATAATTCTAATTTACACTAAGCCTTTTGTTTAATTAAATAGGTGTCTAAACTTTTTTGTCTAGGTTACTACCTGCCACATTCATTCATCCAGCGATGACGAAATTGACTTTAAAGAAACTGGTTTTTCACAGGATTCTTCTTTGCAGCAAGTGAGTTAAATTCATTTAACAGTGTTGTTCACAGGTGTGCCTTCCTTGTAAAAGTAGCTTTTCTGTGGGATTTTTGTATTTGGGGATGGGTGGTTGCATTTGATGCAAAACACCATTTGGAGAATTCGGTGATGAAACTGGAAAGTGTATAAAAAAAAAATGTAGGCAGTGTGCAGTTTAAAGTTCTATACATATTTATAGTTTGCTAATTGACAGTGTTACAGGATTTAATATGGTAATGCCACACAAGTGAGTGGTGTTTTTCAGAGCACCAACTAACTGTATAGCGGTCTACTTGAGTTAGCACTTTCATTTAGAAAATAGTTTTTGGAAGCACTTTTAATACTTTGCCATTTTTGATGGGTAAAGGGTGACAGCTATTCCGTACTAGCATCATTCCATTTGCAATGTACGTCTTCTTTATTCCTCTGTTGGCACTGGAGGAAAGTGAAAGCTGTCAAAATCTGAATACAGTGTACATTGATTTAGATCTCCAATCCTGAAGGTGCTATAGATTCAAGTTACTAAACAAAAGTTATTTAAATTGCTGCTTGTACCATTAGCTGTTTGTAACTGCCTCAACCCAAGTACTACAATCTGTAGTTCTTAAAGTTTATATACCTTTATCATTTATATAAAGTGCAGTTGTTCCAAAAGTTTGGTTGAGGTTTTTGTTAATTTTAGAAACTATAGTTAACTTTTTCATGTCTGATATTTCAGTGATTTATTGCATCTTAGTTGCACTAATCTAGATTTGATGGGGTTGGTGTCTTCAGCAAGGTAGCAGCTTCTGTAGGAACGTGGAATCTTTTAGAAAACCCTTCATAGTCTTCAAGCACCATCTTCTGACTGTGTTCTTCAGTGTGAGCTCTGCCTAGACTGTCACAGCAACTGCATGTGTTTAGGTAGTTAATCCAACAGAGAACTGCAGATGGACCACTGCTGTTGCATGCTATATGGGGTAATGGTGGAACACGATATTTTTAGTGTCTTAGCAGAGTTTGTCATGAGGCTTGACAATAGAATAGAGAACTGTACCTTGATATTGTCTTCTGTAGAAAACTGAGTATGACGTGAAAGACAGTAGACTGGAGACACCATTGTGAGGAAGAGCAGATCAGTTTTCCGGAATAAGTGGAGGCACTGTAATGTCTAGCGCACTGGTAGTCTTTTCCTTCCACTCTTCTGATCTTCTGGGAACCTATTAACCTTTCTTAGGTGGGTTTGCTTTGTTTGCCAGATTTACTGAGGCCCAGACTAAAACAGGCAGCCTCCAGCTTTCTTTTCTTCAGCTTCCTTACTAAGTCCCATTCTAATGTTCGATTTCTCTCTAATGAAGAATTCTCAGTCCAGAAGTGTCTTCATTCTGTTGATCTCTGATCAGTGGAATGCCTCAGTCAGTTCAGTCGTCAGAAATAATTTTAAAACTCTATCATTTTGAAAGAAACTTTCATTAATTCATTCTCAGGACAGTTTTTTTGAAAGACCTTCCTTACTTTAAATATTAGGGGGAGAGTCTGCTGCCTCATAACTGGAAATTGGTTCTCCCAATTTGCAAAGCATGCGACAGGAAAGAATTTGTAATGCACACACAAGTAATCACAAACATTGAGCTCTTTGGGCAAAATTTAAGACTCCATCTAATCTAGTGCTGGTAAGAGTGGGAGTGATACTGTAGACCAGCTGCTGGCATTTTTACTATTGTGTTGTCTGGACCTGCTGTGAGCAACGTTAGATGACATAGTGGTAAAAATTCTGACAACCAACCAGTGTACACTAATGCTCCTACAATTGCTAACACCAGAGGAGCTGTGCTGACGCTTGTGCAATATCATGAGATCTCCAGAAAGTTGCTGCTGTAGGCACAGTTAAGGAATAAATGCAAGTCTGCATAACTGAATATGAAAAGTGATGTTTTCCTTTTAATGGAAATCTCTCCAAATGTATCTTCAAAGACCTAAGTAAAATCTCAGGCTGCCCTAGATGATAACACCTAAAGTAGATTTGATCATGATGACTCAGGCAAAAGGGATCTTTTGGAAATTTTCTTTACGGGCCCTGGATAAGAAATTAATGCTTATAATCACTTAGGTGACTTTTTTTTTTTACTTGCCAACCGTTTTTAACTGTATTTGTACAGCCTGTGCAGGCAAAATGTTTTTCTTTATTGGCTGGAGAAATCCATTCCTTTTTATAAAGTAAATCTTCAGACATGTTTCATAACTTTTCACACCTGACTTCTAACTTAATTTATGATGCCATAAAGATGTTAGGCCTGCTCTGCTATCTTTTGTAGCATTTTTAAAGGTAAAATTGACCCCCCCCCCTCTTGTTTGATGAGCTTTGTTTAGGGAAGTTCATGACAAACCCTAGAGATGGTACCCCCAAGAAGGGTCTCATGCTGTAAATCTTTCTGCAGATCCCTTTATTTTAAGGGCAACAAGCAGAAGTATATCAGTGATTCCATTCATTTTCCACTTTGCAAAACTTGCCTTTGGCCTGTCAAAATGTCAGCAGGTTCTGACTCTTGGCTGACTATCTCTTGGAACGCTTCTCTAGCGTGCTCTTTCGACTATTAGGCTTTAAAAGATACTGTTACTAGGATGACGTATATATTTGATAAAACAGAAGTTGCTGCCTGCACTTATTTCACTTGAAAACTGGTAGAATTTTAAAAATCTAATTGACTTTTCACCATTAATTTAGTTCTTTCATCATTCCATTTATCATTAACATAACACCTTTATGAATGTCTTCTCATCCACATGCATTCAGTAATAAGTTCTCTTCAACCATAGCTATCAAAGTACTTTACAGAGGAAGTGTTTAGTGCCTTTCTACAACCCAATAATGCTTTATATGGACAGAACAAAGGTCTAATATTACTAGGCCAGCCATATGTTTTGCCCAACGTAGTGCTGTTTACTGTAAAAGACTTGAGGGATTGATTGGCACTTGTGAATGTTTCAGTCAAAATTCTACCTGAAACACATGCAAAAAGGCAGGCTTCTCCAGTGGCTGCTTGTATGGAGGTTCCCCTTATTCACTCCCAATCCCAGGAGTGTGGAAAGCTGCCATTGTATCCCTCTCCTTCCTCATCACTGCCCTGTTTTATCTTCCTCCAAGCTCCTCCATAATTTCCTGTCCCCAACCCAACCCTGTATTTTTTTTCCCTCTGCCATCACCTATTCCTCTATACCTTACCTTCTCAGCACCTTGCTCACCTGCTCCTTTTTAGGCCATCTCTGGCTTCCCATATTCCCACGTCCTGTTTAGCTGACTAACCATACAGTCCAGAGAGTGGCTATCTTCCCTGAGGGTAACCTGGGTTCAGTTTCATTAAAAACAATGAGTTTGCAGTCTCCCTTCAACATGCAAAGTCTGTAGAGAATGGTGACTGTTTTGGCAGAGAGCA